GAGTTCTGCTGGGAACTCGGGATCGCTAAAGCAAAATTCCAGAAGATGATTTTCCAGCTGGCAAAGAGGAAGAAGAATATCCTCAGGGGGTTGAAAGGACAGGAAACAACAGGAATACAATTTTCCACCCCTCCTGGAAATCCCACTAATCCAGCAGTTTACCTGGAGCCGACTGACTTCCGAGGTGATGATCCAGACTTTCAGGATGCCGGTCACGGAAACTGCCACCACAGTGTCCTCTGGGAAACACAGAAACCAGGATGAGATCCCAAGGAATTCTCCACCGGGTGTACAAATACACCCAGGAGAAACTAAAACTTCAGGCCAAAAACACCCCTGGAAGCATCCAAGGCCAGGAGTGAGAAATAATCACCTTGTGTCCTGTTGGATCGGATGATGCTCATGGAGCTGATCCAGTCAGGAGAGATCTTGGATATCAGGGAATAAAGAACTTCCAGGCTGGTGGCATCCACCACCAGAATTTCGGGATAATGCCCATGGCATAGGAGCCTCCCTTCCCGCTGGGAGCCGACTGTGAACTGATAGAACTGCCAAGACACAGAAATTATACCCCGGGTGGGACAGGAATTCCTTCATTTTTAATCCAAACCATAACGTTTGGGATTCCCCCAGCTCTGGAATTCTTCCCAGGACTGACCTGAATTCCCGTGTGCGCGCAGGCCAGTTTGGTGAACTCGATGCATCTCCCATCGTTCACGTCCCACAGGCACATCTCCCTAAAAACACCAAAAAAAATCGCCCTAAAACTCCAGGGAAACCAGGCCAGGCTTCCCAACATTTCAAAATCCCTCTACACTGGGAAGAACTTCATTGGAACCATTCCTTGGATATCAACTGCACAAGAAATCCTTCCCCCTCCACCCTCTGATTAGCAAATAAAACCACTTCAAAAATAAAATGTATTTGCTGATGAATTTTAAGGATCAAAAAAACCCGACGCAGCCCCAGGGTGGAAATACGGATAATTTGGGGACAGATTTCCATGATTTGACAGTTGTGCACATCAAAACTGCTGGGAAACTCACCCACTCTCGGATGCACTCACTATATATTGTTTTTCACTGGAAGCTGAGGCTTTGGATAAACAAGTAACTGAGGCCGTGTGACCAAAGAGTAGAGCTCTGGGATTAATCTGGGAGCAGGGAAAGAAAAGGGGAAGTCAAAATACCACTCTGAAAAAAGGAAAACACATATCCCAGCTTTCTATTTTATATATTATATATCTAATGATATACACACATTTAATTAGTGTAACTGTGGATATATAACCTTGAAAAAGAGTTTCTACTTAACACTGGAAAAAAAGGCAATTTGCAAACTCATGTCAATAAAATCTATAAAATTGGCTCAGTCTGAATGAAAAAATTGACAGGGAGAAACTATTGTTGCACAAGACAAGTTCTGGATATTTATAAATAAGGGGAGACCTCCAGGAGAGCCGGAGAGGGACTTGGGACAAGGGATGGAGGGACAGGACAAGGGGAATGGCTTGGGAAGGCAGGGATAGATGGGATATGGGGAAGGAATGGCGATTCCCAAGGGAATTCTTACCTGCAGGTCCGGGCTGAGGTCCCAGAGGCAGATCTGGCCGTCGTGGCAGCCGGTGACGATGACGGTGGCGCCGTCCATGAGCAGCAGGGAGGACACGCAGTGCGTGGGGGCGCGGCGGCCCCACAGCACGATGGGCAGCACCAGGCTGTTCCCGGCCATCCCACCCGCCGGCCTGCAACAAAACAGCACCAGAGACATGGCACCGGGAAACCCGCCGGACCCAGCGCCGGGGATGCCGGATACGACAGTGATGGCATCTCCATGAGGGACACCTCAGATTGCCCTCAGGGCCTGCCCTCAGGGAGGGCCTTCACCTTCCCTCAGGGAGGGCCTTCTCCTTCCCTCAGGGAGGGCCTTCTCCTTCCCTCAGGGAGGGCCTTCACCTGTCCTCAGGGAGGGCCTTCACCTGTCCTCAGGGAGGGCCTTCACCTGTCCTCAGGGAGGGCCTTCTCCTTCCCTCAGGGAGGGCCTTCGCCTTCCCTCAGGGAGGGCCATCACCTGCCCTCAGGGACCTCCTTCACCTGCCCTCAGGGACCTCCTTCACCTGCCCTCAGGGACCAAACTGCATCCCTTAAACTGTCCAGGAAAAACATATCCCCTCACACGTTTGGCAAAATTCCACAGGCTTTTTATCGATCTAGGCCCCAAACAGCACATCCCTGGGCATGCGGAGGGTTTGGCCAAAATCACTCTTTTCGGAGTGATTTTGAACTAACAAATGTTTGAAGCCCCTGGTTATTATATCTATGATGTTACTAGATTCCTGATATTAATACATCCCTGATATCATTACATCCCTGATACCATTATATTCCTGGTTTTATTACCTCCCTGCTATCATTCTACCCCTGCTATTCCATATCTGATATTACTGACAGTATTAAACACCTGATTGTACAGATATGCCCATCGGAATACGGAATATCCTGGTGAAATCAGCCTTGTGTAATCCACTGATAAAGCAGATTTTGGCCGTTACCCAGCAGGAAACAGGTCCAGCCCTATCTTTATGGCAACATTTGGGATATCTTATAAAGATATTGACACAAACAACACGGGGAAATTGGAGCTGCCACGAGGCCAAAATTGTCTCGGTGACCGGGAAGCGGAAAGAAAACAGAAATTCAAGTTGTGGCAATAAAATCCAGTTGCATTAGCACAAGATTTAAATCCCAAAACAAGCCTCTGTTGTCGGTAGCAACATTCCCAGCTCCAAGTTTTCAGAACTGACATTTTCTTATCGGCCACAAGGTTGTGTTAAATAAATAACTAAACACTCCTGTTATGCTCTGGGTGTCCCAGCTCACACCTCTGATTTAGAGGAGTACAAAGCAGGATTCACTGAAGAAATATTTTAAAATACTTTAAAACATTTTACAAACACAGCTCCCTGGAGCCTCCCACTTCACTCCACAAAATCCACATCATCCAATCACTAAGATCACAAAAAATGCCACTTCAGAACAAGGCAACTCATTCCTCGGACTCTGTTAATTAAAAATTATTTCATTGAGAGCTTGAATTTAATCAAATTAGAAATAGAAGACCTAAAAATCCAAGTATGGAATCTTTTGGAAGCTGCTCCACTGCAACCCCCATCACCTGCCCGTGCAGTGTTAATTTGTTATGCAACGCTGGATCGATTGTTTTGTCTGGGCAACCATGAATATAAATCACAAATAGAAAAATCACAAATAGAAAAATCACAAATAGAAAA